GGAGAGAGAGAGAGAGAGAGAGAGAGAGAGAGAGAGAGAGAGAGAGAGAGAGAGAATATGAATGGGAATGAACTTAGAACTGAGGTACTAGTGATGAGTATTGAATACATGGCTGCCAAGAGAACAAACGATCTTGGAGGGAGGGCAGCCAGCAAGCTCCTTAGAAGTAAGGATGGGGTAACTTCATCTCACACACTTGGGGCTTACTGTCAGGAGGGACCAGTCCTTGAAAAAGACATCACGGGTGGAAAACAGAGGGTCAGTAAAATAAAGGGAGATCCTCCATGAGAAAGACTGACACAGTGATGTCAACAATGGGCTTGAGCGTGGCAGAGATCAGGAGAATGGTGAAGAATATGACAAAGTTTAGATCTGCTGTTCACAGGGCCACTATGAGTGGTAGTGAATTTGATGACACCTAGTAACAGTAGAGGATGACAGGAGAGACAGGTACTTCTGAAACGTGCTTGGTACAAGGAAGAAAATGTTGTTGCTCCAGTCAAGATGACCATCATGTGCTTCCATTCTGAAATGGGTGTTGTTTAGAGGGAGTGGAGTTATCAAATACATGTTGCTTATTATTGAAGCTTCTCTGCTGTGGCTTCGTCTCATTTCCTAGAAACAGCTCAAAGCAGGACTTGTGGGTGATGTTTCCTTAGGGCAGCGGCCATGTCTGATTTTTTTCTTCACTATATGTCCAGTGCCTAGTATAGCACCTGGTCCATGGTACGTACTCATGAAGTATTTTATTGAATGAATGATTATATTTACTGATTCCCCTAATCCTCCTGCAAGAACAAATATTCATTGCTGTTTACATTTTATAAATGAGTAAGGCTAAAGTGCCTTGTCCATAAACACGACTTGTAAGAACAGCCAGACTCAAGACCCTAAATCCCATGATTTTTTTCCCTAGACGACTCTGTGGGCTCCTATACATCATGTCCTACTTTCAGCAGATCTATTTTTTTTTCCTAGCCAGTGGGGCCATCCCTGATTGTACAGTCATCTCCAAATTCTATGACTCATATGTGAATCATGGAACTGTTTAACGGTTGAACGAGACTTTTGATGTCATCGAGACCTCCTACCCATTGTGGAAATTTCCTCTCTAACATCTACCTAGATGTTACTTGAATGCTTCTCATGATGGAGCACTCATTTTATCTTCCACTTGAACTATGAGTTTACTTATGAATTATGGTGGCACCACTTTTACAGTCAGAAAGAAAGTGGTCCATCCTTGGGGTTAACACATTTTTCTTTCATTTCCATGTTTTGGACTTATGCCATCCTTTCTGAGAGAATGAATTTACTGATTCCTCCACAAGACAGTCTTTCAGATATTCACAGAAACCTCTCATATCTACTATGAGAATTCTAACTGCTTCTGGTCCCCACAATGACTTTTCTAGTGAAATGATGCCCATTCTAGACCAACTGCAGAATAGCCAAACAGGCCCTCTAGGTGGTTTGAGCAACAGCACCGCCTACTGGAGAATGAGTGAACCACAGAAGAGGCCTCTGATTCTCTTGGGACACTACAGCTGGGCCACTAACACATGGAAATAACTCCTTATTTTAAAGAGTTGTGAGGGTAAAATCAGGCTGCTCCTTGGAGGCAAGGATTCTGAAGCTCCGTCTGACACACTTTAGGCATGTTGCAAGGAGATACCAGTCCCTGGAGAGGGACATGCTTGGTAGGGTGGAGGGATAGTGCAAGAAAGGAAGATAGATTGACTCAGTGGCTGGGTAATGGTGGTAGGTTTGTCAGAGACAATAAGGTTGGCACAGGATAGAGCAGGGTTCAGAGCTGTGGTACATGTGGTTGCTGAGTCATGCGCGACTTGATGACATGTAACAACAACTTTTTCTTGCTATGCATCAGAGAGATAGACAATGATGAAGTGTGACAGAAGAAGAATGGATGCCTTTGAGCTGTGGTGCTAGAGTAGAGTATTGGACTGCCAAGAGAACAAACAGGTCTGTCCAAGAGAGGGTGAAACCAACCTGCTCTTTGAAAGTAAGGATTTTGAAGCTCTGTCTCACATACTTTGGGGATGTTGCCAAGAGGACATCATGCTTGGAAGGATGGAGGTATAGCTCAGGAGAGGAAGACCTTGGATGAGATAGCATGAGACAGTAACTGGGGTAATGAAGGTCGGTGTGTCAGAGGCATAGAAATTGGCTCAGAATAGGGCAGAGTTCAGAGCTATTGTGAATGGGATTGCTATGAGTTGTAGTCGACTTGATGGCACATAGTAACAATAACTTTAGAATCAGACTGTGTTACTTTCAATGTCCATCTTAAAGAGTAGCTTGTGATGGCTCTCTGGCCAGCAAGGAGGTTTCTACCAAGTTTCAGCTTTGGGAGGTTAAACTAGAATGAAAAAGGTTTCTTCCTCTCTTATTTTATAAACAACAACAACACAACAACAAAAGCTTAGAAGGATAGCTACCAAAAGACATTATTTTGTAAACACTTCTTTTAAAATGGAGTTTATCTTCCAGTATTTCTACATTGTATATTTTGAAATGAAAAGCATCACCACCATCACCACCAATACTTCCCTCTCCCAGATGCTTCACCCCACCTGTGTATTTGATCCACAAGTGGGAGATGCTGCCACCTCCTGGTAATGTTTCTGTGGTGACTGTAATGGCCCAGGGTCAGGCGGGGAGCTCTCTACAGGTGTGACTAACCAGATTGAAACAGCACTCATTTCACCTTCATGGCCAGATTCTTCACATCCACCTCACCTTTGGTGCAAGCCACATTCAAGTTAACTGCTTGTGTTTCTGACCAGCTCTTAACTTTTGTATTCCTTAAGTCCACCCAACACACCATCCACCAATGGCCATGTCCCTGTCAGTCCCAGGATCCCCAGATCTCCCCACTTTGCTCTATGCTGCCACAGGCTCAGCAGCTTGTTTTTTCCCCCCAATGTAGCTCAGAGAAGCTCCAGATGATATCAGGTCAGAAAGACATCAGGGATTAGGAAAACAAATCCCCATTTAAATGAAGACCTACAGACCAGCTGAGTCACTCCTCTCCAAATGAGTTCACCGCTAACCAGCTTTACTCCAGCCCCAGCATCAGCCCAGGCCCTCTCCCTCCACGCTGAGCTCTGGGCGACAGCTGGGCAATGGGGAGACTCACCCGGCAGCCTCTCACTGCAGCACATGTCCAGGGCCCCTCCCTCGGAGTCATCAGCAGTGCGGTTCTCTCACTCCTGCAGCAGGATGAAAATGGAAGACACTGCTGTTGAGTTGGAACATGGCAAAACCTCGAGCAAAGAGAAAAAGACCTCCTTTCTTTGTTACCTGTTTTTAAAATAACATCATCCCATGAGGGGCACCTGAGGAAAAGACTCTCCCACCCAAGGGTCAGGCTGCAAAGGTGTGACTAGGATGTTGCTTGCGTCTTCCATATGGGATCAGCCTCAGAATCCTCAAAACACCATCATCATCACCACTATCTTCTCCTCCAGGGAAAGAGGGCATGTTGTGTGTGAAGCACTTTGCAAACCTTATTGCCCTGAACCCTCACTGCGACCCTACACATTGCTGTTGCTAGGTGCCATAGAGTCGAGCACGACTCATAGCGACTTTATGAACAAAAGATCTGAACCCTGTTCTATTCTGTGCCATCTTCACACTTTCTGACACAAAAGAGCCCATTGTGGCAGTCACTGTATCAATCCACCTGATTGAGGCTTTTCCTCTCCTTCACTGACCCTCCACCCTTCCCTCCAAGGAATAGCCCCTCCTAGCAATGTGTCCAAAGTATGTGAGGCAAAGCCTCATCATTCTTGCCTCCAAAGAGCACTCTGGCTGCACCCTCTCCAAGAACTATCTGTCTGTTCTTTTGACTGTCCATGGGATGTTCAGTGCTCATCTCCAACACCACAGAACAAAGCGTCAATTCTTTTTCTGTCGGAGTTTAGGTAACTTTCTCAAGATCCCACAGTTAATTAGGGTAGAACTGGGTTTATAATTACTGTCCATAAATCAATGTTCATGTTCTCACTGCTATATTGTTCTATTTCCTGGTTCCTGTGGGTCTGAGTCATGGGTGAGTATGGAGAGGGGTCTGTGTTCAGCTCTCCAAAGTATACAAGTGCACAGTGCTTCTGAGGCTACCCACAAAAGCTCCCAACCAATGGAAGGTGGCATGAAAATATTCTTTTCCAGAAATTGCCAGAATATCTATGTATTGCATATTCTCAGTGTTCTGTTTCCTTGACAATTAGAAAACCCTCTTTCTAGTCCATGAGAGTATGCTGCAGGACTGTGCTAAAGTCAAGCTTTTCTCCTTTTCCTGGTAGGCTAGACATCAGCCAGAATCTGTGAGGAGTTCCAAGAGTAGAGATTTCCTGAGCACAACTACTCCATTCACAAAGGCTTCCCTGCTCTGGGAATGGCCCTTCCTGCCTCCGACTCCTGGCAGGAGCTGATGATCCAGAGGTGGAGGCACAAACCAGGTTAGGCCAATCAGATTCTCTCCCTGCACGATGCAAATGCATCCAGGAACCAGGTTAGGCCAATCAGATTCTCTCTCTCCACGATGCAAATGCATCCAGGAACCAGGTTAGGCCAATCAGATTCTCTCCCTGCACGATGCAAATGCATCCTGGAGGGCTTGGAGTCCTCATTTAGGACACTGAATCATGTGCAGTGTCTGTGAGAGAAGAGATCACAAACTACTGCTGCTGAGGGCTGCACGGCTGTTTTGTTCCCATATGTCCTGAGTCCTGACTGCGAAACATGTCTGTCAAGACCATGAGATGCCCTAGGATCCTTCGGATACATTTCCACTCTTTAGCTTAAGCCCACTGGGTTTGATTTCTGAAGCTGGCACCTGAAAGGATCCATAATAAAGTCCTTTGAGGGAAATCTGGCCATCTCAGAAGGAAGTTGTGCTGCCAACCCAAAGGCACAGGTGGTTCGAATACACTAGCTGCTTAGTAGGAGAAAGATGGGTAACATCTTCTCATATGATTTACAGCCTCTGAAAACTCATTTGAGGGTCAGTTATGAGTCTGCCCCAACCTGACAGCAGTGACTTTGAGGCTTCTGAGTGTCATGCTTTCAGGAAGTCCAAGAAGTCAGCTGTTTCCTTCCTTGGTATTCTTACACCTCTGACTGGCCCTCTGGCCTCTCTCAGCCTGAACTGCTGATCTTAAACAATTAAGGGCAGACAGGTGTTGTTAAAGATGACCTTTCTCACTCAAACACGGTCTCAACCGACATTTCATTTTCAGTTTTTTCCTTATTCCAATTTGGAGATTCCTTGAGAATCTCAAGTGTCAGAGCCCACCTCTCCTGCAGTAATAAGGCTGCTCCCTCCTCCCTCCAGGACCCATTCAACATCTCCAGAGTCCTTCCACTTCTTTCTCCATCTTGATCCCGGCCAATGTCATCTCATGCCTCGACTCCAGCAGCGACCTTCTACCAGGTCTCGAGTACTAACTCAGGACGACCTCCAGTCTACCTGCCACACAGCGCTGCCAGTGTGAGTGGCTCTATCGGTTACACGCTTTATAACCTGCACAACTGAATGAGGCAGCCTGAAGTCAGAATTAGCTCTTCAACATTACTGCATAATATCCATTTTAAAACTTTAATGGTATCCTGTGGAATAACATGAAAACATAATGAAATATAACTAAGTTTTGCAGACAATTTCAATAGCCAGTTGTCCACAGTAATTCTAACTCCCTATGTGCCAGATTTTTTTCTTTTTAAAATTAATTTTAATTAAAGTTTACAGAGCCTTAGTGTTTCCATTCATTCATTGTTGCACTTTTCTCCCTACCCACCCCTCCCCGCAATTTGCTCTTCTCTTTGAAAAGTAAAAGAAAAATTCTTTCATTGTTATATAATCCCTTCCCCCAAGTCCATTCCACTGTGCAGCCTTCGTTCTGGACTCCTGTCATGACAATAATACCTAATCATGTATCCCTTTTAAACAGCTCTCTCCCTCATCTGTTTCAGTGCAGTGTACATTATTTATCCTCTCTTTCTCAGTCTCTCCTCAATCTCAATGTCAGTCCCGTATGTGCCAGATTTTTAATGGATGATTTTAAATTTTTTTTTTTTAGAAGCAGATCACAAGATCTTCCATTTAAAGCACCTCCGGGTGGGCTTGAACCTCCAACCTTCTTGGGTAGTGGCCAAGCACATTAACCACCCAGAGCTGCACAGGCTAGCCCCTGCTTGCCCTGCTGACCTCCTCCCATTGTATTCCAGCCACAGCAGGCAGACTCACTTCTATGGTGCCTTAGCATGTGCTATTCCCTCTGTCAGGAGAGGTCCCCCAGCTCCACTTACTAGTATTTTTTCATTTATAACATCTGCTACAGTTTAAAATTTCCTTTTAATTGATGCCATTCTTGGATTCACATTTGTCTCACCCATAAGATCCCCCTTTCTGTATTACTTATCATTGAATCTTCAAAGCCCAGCACGGTGCCTGGCTCAGTAGGCACTCAATACTTATTGGATATGTGAAAGCTACCCTGATATTGCAGACAAATAAAATTAGGAACCTCAAATACAGTGCTTGTCTGAGCAGTCCTGTGCAAAGGTCTTTAAGTCATTTGGAATGCCCCTCCACAGCTGTTTTCTAGAAAAGTTACAGGATGACACCTCTTTGAGGCCTCTCATTTTGGCAGAGGAAGAAACTGAGGCACAGAAGGCAGTCTGATTTGTCATGGGTTGTATACTGAGTGGGTGGGAAGGGGAGAGAGAACATCTATTCCCAACCTGAGCTGTCTGGTTGCTTTATCCTAAAGACCAACACAGCTGGTGGGCAGCCCACAAAGGGTAGCCCCGAGTTGGGTGCAGAGAGGTAACCAAGGCAGCCAGATACCTCTGGAAGGGAACCCGCGTGTGACTCACACCTGTCTTCACACCTCCCAGACCAAGCTGTGTTCAGAATAGCTCAGTGCCGCATGTCTGCAGTGGACTCTATAAATAAGCTTCCTAGAAAATGACTAATTTCATAATCTGGAAAGCAGAAAGAGTAGCACCTCTCGTCTGCAGACGAGAGTGGAGCAGAGGCTGATTCTCAGTCCTGTAGTCAAAGGGCTCAGGCAATCCAGCCCAGATCCAAGGGTGAGGCTGTTCCGGAGAGGGTTTTAACTGGATTGTCAAAGGGAAATTCAGCCTGAGTGGACAGTCCAGGCTCTGGGCACTAGCCTTTTTCCTCCCTACAAACATCTACTGTTTGCAGTAGACTGCTGTGTGCTCCTTCTGCACTGGGTCAGCCGGGCAACAAGAGCAGAAAACCGGCTTCTGACAATAGGCAGCAACTTGCTAACTTATCCCCTCCAGAAAGCCGCAGAAGTAAAGGAGCCTTGGCTCTCACGCAGCCTGTCCCTCATCCACCCATGAGAAGGGCCTGACGAGAAAGGGGACTGAAACTTTCTAATCCCACTCCTTCCAGCCCTCAGCACCTCCTGTGGGGCAAGGCATCAGACCAAGGCTGCCCCAGGGACTCAACGACAGCGAGTCAGGCCGCCACTCCCACCCCGGAACAGTGCCTCTTCTTCCTGGGAGACTCCACTGTGCTCCCTGCTCTCCTTAGCCTCGGTAGGTGACACTTTGGAGAGCTCAGCGCAGTGAGACGAGAGGTGATGCGGCATCTTCTCCAAAGGGAAGGCTCAAAGCCCTCAAACCCACTGCCATGGAGTCACAGCAAGCCGCCACTGGGGTTCTGAGGCTGTAAATCACCACAAGAGTCACTGGTGGATTTGAATGCCAGAAATGTGCTGCCTTTGGGTGAGCAGAGCAGCTCACCATGAACCTAAAAGGGGCTGATTCTTGAAGGATGTTGCTAGGTGAAAGAAGGGGTAATAAGAGAAAGAAGACAGAAAGCACACAGTCTAACAATTTCAACGTATACTACCATTCAGTGGTAATTAGGATAAACACACTGTTGTGCACCCACTACCACTATCTAGGTCCAGAATGCCTTGGGAATGAATTCTAGAACTTTTCCAGGGTGTCAGCAGCCCAAAGCTCCTGGGTCTCCAGACAGCTCTGCTGAAACCATAGCTTGTCCATTTCCCTAGCATGTATAGTCTTTTTGTCAAATCTCATTTATTCCTCAAGCCCAGCTCACTCCTCTCCTCTTCCATGGAGCAATTCCTGATCTTCCTGGCAAAAGCCAGCTCTCTCTCATCTCTAGGTGTTCCTGCACACCTGGCTCTTACCTTGC